AGCATTAAAGCTCAATTCACAACAGCTAGATGTGATAATTTTCTTACTTCACTGAAACACTCCTGTCACTAAGATACACTTAAAATGAAGCCAAAATAAACCGAATTCAATTACGTATTTCATAACGGTATCGAGTCGATATTTGTTAATTTGAGCTAATATTCGTTTGCACAGTGAGTCACTCACCGTTAGTTTCGAATGTGCTAAAATATATACCAAATATATTTTTACGACCACACCTAGGTCACCATTGCTTCATACATTTAAATTAGGAGTTGCTTTTTAACTTTTAAACTACAACACTAAGTGTATATTTATTTGTACGTAACAACTTTTTGTGATTATTAATATAATCACAAAAAGTTGTTACGTATATTATTTATCTCTAAAAGTTCTATATTGTAATTGTTTTAAATGTACAAATTATTATATAGTACTTTTATAAGAATTTTAAAAGTGAACTCCTAATTTAAAATCTTTACAAATTCAAGTTATTAATTTCACTTATTCAAAACACGCGAGGCATATTTAGTTTAAGTCAATCCGCAGTGAGTTTTGTATTATTCTATATTTTATTTGTTTTTAATTGAAAATTGCTAAGGAAATTATTCCTATGTAGTTAAGTGTATGGTACATACTTCATATGAAAGAACCAAACCCTACTTGGACACGACTCTAGTCAATAATTTATAAATTACTTTTTAATTAAAAATCAATCAATAAAAGTAAATTACTTACAGTATATAAATTTTAAGTCTAATTAATTTCAAATTATATTAATACAAGCTTGTACATATTATTACACAGTGATCGATTGATGATGAAATTATTTTTGCGTCCGTTTCTATTTCACACAGACCTACAGACTTCTACATCTTGGTTATATTTTTGCGGGTTAATAATCTAGACTCTTGCGTGTGTAGGTTCAAAACTTGTATTATACCAATTTGAAATGTTCTTTTCAATGCTATAAAGTAAAGCGGAGTTATTGTATACACGTTACAATAAACTATCTAATAATCGTCTCGAGAATTCGCGCCATGTGTGTCAACCGCTCGAGTCACGAATATCGTACGTCTTATGTGTCAGTCGTAACCCATTCAAACGTCAGTCCATTGACGATTGATTCAGCTAATGCAAGAGTAGGTAATGATTCGCCACGGATCCCATACGTTGCCCAGATTTCGATCTTGGATTCAGGGCAACTAGATTTATGTGATGTCGAACGGCCTCTTGAGTTTTTATATTTTCTTACTTTAGTTTAATAATATAAATGTAGAGCGAGTCACTTCTAACATATATCCTTCTTATATATACGACTAGGGAACGGTTCACAAATTTATACATAGTATGTGCACAAGTATGTGTCCTTGTGTGACTCTAAGTTTCATCTACGTGCCATCGCTGAAAATCGACTGTGTATCAACAGCTAATATCCTTATATATATCCATCCAACAAATTAATTGGTTGCGTTAACGTCTTTGTTGTCGTTATTTGAACAAGTATTAATATGCTGCAAATAAACTTAAGGTTTGCAGGGGACATAGTGAGAGTTAGATTATCCATTGTCCTCTGTACAGGAGGAATGGGAAAATTTATGAAATGGTTAGCACACGATGTGGTCTGATCACTCAACCTTCTATTGGTGTCACTAATAGAACAGAAGAATGTATTACTGATTGGTAAAATTACGAACATTTTCCACAAGCAATTTAGAAGGCATAAAACCAGAAATCCGGGATCAACAATGAAATCAGAATCCACTTCGCCGATTGACTCATCATGGAGTTTACAGGAAAGAGTTTTCAATCAGGAATTTAATTAATATAAACAAGTAGTGGTAACCTCGTTTTACTACAACAGTAAAAGTCAAGAAGCCGCTGAGTTATGGGCAGACTCGATTGCTCGGCCGTACGAAATCATTTTAAACCCATACGATGTTTATCTTACGGTTTCGTCATAGGTTTTGCTCGATCTCTTATTATACGTATTATATTTGCCAATCTGATGTGTAGATTAAATTCGTTATCTTTTGATTATCGAACACATAGGTCGACAACGCAACAAGTAACGATATTGATAACCTTCGGTCATAGAAAATGACGATGTAGGCGGATATACGCGTAATAAATATTTAACTTAAGTCATTTAAATTTATTGGCGTGTATATTTTAAAAATTAAAACATGTGTAAAGTTACGTGAAATCCCGTTTTCCCCACGTGGGGCATGGGGCGAATACATTTTTGAGTTCGTTGCATTGATCCGTTCTTTAACAGGCAAGTAGTTGATCTTACTTCTGTGCCCTATATAAATGTAGATTTCTTCAAATTATCTGAATTGATTATTGTTAATGTTTTTGTTCTGCTGCATTGCAGGATACTCAATTGTATCGATTTGTTGATTTCGTATACCAATTTTTGTAGTTTTTTTATTTATAGAATAATATAAAATTGTTTCCTAGGTGGGTTTGAATTATGCATAAAGTTAGTTGTTTTTACACAACCCATAACCAAGACGAGGTTTCACAGTCAAAGTTAACGTTAAAGTCAAGGGCGTAGAACACACAAGAAGAATTGTCAATGAGCTCTCCTTCACTCCTTTATTTTGGCCGACTCTTATGTATAAAGGGATACAGCCATTTAATTATACAGGTGACTATACCTTTGTAATTACAACTACAATTACATCACTCACAAATATTTCAACAGAACGAGAATTGCTTTCGATTTCAATAAGCTTAATTAAAAATGTCGTCCGCCCCCGCGCTACGCAATTAGAACTTTCTTCAATTACGTAAAGAATATCGATAACATTATTTATACGTTTCATTTCATTCCACTAGTAATGGAGTTCAAAAGACTTAGCTATACACGTGTAGAAATTACCTGGATATCCTAAAAGTAGAACAAAACTAAGAATCTAAATAATCGCTTACAGTAATACATCGATTAATAATTATGTTCTCGGTCGATTAATTCACTTTCAATCCGTATTATAAATAAAACCGACGAATATCGATACATATATCGCTACTAGCTGTGTCAGCGACTTCGTCCGCGCAGAATAGTTATTTTCGAATTTGTTTTTGCAAACCTTCTCTTTATCTTTATAAATTTAAGTAGTTAGCCGCGACGTCGGTCGTGTACCGTCGTTCTTGTAAGTTAACCGTAAAAGATGGACATATATTGTTGGCGACATTTTTATATCATTTAAAGAGGTATCATTATTTTAATCATATTTTTGGGTATCTTCAACCGTTTTCGCAGCGGCAACTCACAAACGTGAAGTAATTTTCTTGTTCTTCTCATATTTGCCGCTGTTTCACTTGCCGCTTTCGCTCCTATTAGTCACAGGGAGATGTTTTATAGCCAATAGTATTCCTCGATAAATGCTCTAACCAAAACAAAAAGAATCATTATTTCGTCAAATTAGCGCGTTCAAACAAACAAACAAACTCTTCAGCTATATATATTAGTATAGATTCTTAAACACACTTATCGAATCGTTACTCTTGTAAAACAATCGATCAATATTGGGTTCCCGGTAAAATGTTCGTCTAATTTTATTCGAACTAGCTTCTCTGACAATGAACTCTGATCGAATAAACAGTCGATCGCTCGCCGCGACCTGGCACTCGTCTCTCGTCGATCCCGTGGCGGATCGTAAATCGATATTTACCGGTCAGGAGCACATCACTAGTTGTAGTAAAAGTCGACTTTTACGACTGTTTCTGTAATTAGACACGTATTTGATATTGATCATTGAGATTTGTTTGGGCTTGTTTTGCCTTGTGTAGCGCGTGTACGCGTCTGTATTTGCGTTGGTCTCGGGGGAAATTTGTAAAAAAATTAAAATACTTTTGCCTGTAAACGTGTTGCATTTCGTTAAGCAAGAGATGCCCCTGGTTTAAATCCTGAAAAATAAAACATTTTATGACTTAAATTGATTGGAAAAACAGACACAGGAATGTGTTCTAGGCTCTTCAACACGATATCTTTTTCACAAATGATAAAATAGATTCCGCTCCTAACAAAATGGGTTACATTTCAAAAGTCATACAATCATAAATAATTATTTATTAGAAATTAAAATGATTATTTATATAAACGATTTTAAAAGAACGTTTCTAATTAACAACGCTACGTTTGTGCCCCTTAACAACATCTATTTATGTTTTTGAAATTCTTTTTCCATTTAATATATTTATAAATTAAGAGAAACGACGCAGTTTTTTTATATTATAATATTAAAACAAATTCGCAATTCTCCTAATATTCAGCAAGTGGAAAATTGGCTTCCGATAGTTAATGGTCTGCAACTCATCGGACAGAGACGACGTGATGTAAACAAGCTAAAATAAACTTCATTCACAACGAAACGCAAGTGATTGAGTAAGAAACAGCGATGATAACACCTGCGGACTATGTGCATACCTTATATTATTGTTCTATGTAGGAAGGTACATAAACGACTTTTCTCATACTAAATAAATCACTTAACGGGTTAAAAATACAGTGATGTACTGTTGAAGTTTAAAAAATAAATAAACGTTTAAATAAAACACTTTAACGGTTTAAAACGCGATATATTAGCTAAACTTATTTGAAAATGATTTTTGCCTGACGTTTTGGATGCTTTGTAGCAGCCGTGGACACGGGGAAACGTTTTCTTTTATTTAAATGTGTACTACTCGCGTAAACTATAGACAGTATTTAATAAATGTACGGGTTATTTGTTTTTTAATTAGATATTTTTATATCCTACAATTGTTTGTTCGTAATTATCTAAGATGTTTTAAGGAAATTTTATTAAACGACCTCCAACTGTCTCGTTAGTCTAATGGCTAGTTCACTCGACGAGTTTGAATCCTAGGTTGTCGAAAATGTTACATTATTTTTTGTAAAAAAAATTCCGTACCTTGAGGATGTAATTAGAAAACTTTCCATTAAAACATATAGATTTGAAAAGTTAATCAACAATATTTATGGTGATCCCCAGGGCGTCTGGCAGCGCAGTGATTCTAGACCCTCGAATGGTGTGCAAGAAGAACAGGCGGACCCGAGGCCGCCTCGCCCAGATCTGCAGGAACGAGACTGGCCTGCTGAAGGAGATCAGCCGAGGAGTGACCCTAGGAGCTAGCGAGTGTGCGTACCAGTTCAGAAATCGAAGGTGGAACTGCACGACCCAGCGGCGCAGCATGAGAAAGATATTGATGAGAGGTATGTAGTTGAACAACAAACAAATTGTATTTCAACTCGTAACTAAATAAGCTATTAACTATTAAACTAGTTAAGTTTAACCAAAGAGTATCTACATTTTAGCTAAAAATCAAGTCCGCGATTAACTTGCAAGAACGACGGACAGACCGTAGCGGTTGCGGAGGTTTGTAAAAACAAATTTGGATGCCCCAATATATGCTACGCGGACGAAGTCGCTGGCACAGCCAGTCTAACATAAATGTTAAATCATTTAATATTAATCCAAACATCACCCTGAAGGTTAAAAACCGAAAATAAAACGTTACGAGTAAACTCAAAATCCGATTTTCTAATTAGAGGGTCTTCATAATTGGCTATATGGAAATAATGTATCAACTTATTTCAACACTAATAACGTTTTATTGAAAGACGATAAAAAACGGCCACTAGATTTATGTATACGGCGCGATGATTTCATCATCATTTAAGATATTGTAAAATTTGCCCAAGCATCGCTACCTGCCAGTTTTATTAAGCCGAACAAAAGAATGCAGAATGTGTTAAATCGAATAGCTATCTCTGCCTAATTCGATTAGTCCTAAAGAGTTGATTTTATGCGCCCGCGCATATTTTATTGCCTTTATCGATATTTAGTGGACATGTCTGATGAATTTAGTAATCGATTCGCTAATGTATTTTTAAATTATGGTTCACTTAATTGTTGGGACTTAAAAAGTGCGATTACTGAATCGATTGTTGGAGCGATTTATTTGCGATCAACTTTTTGCGATGCAATTACAACACTATTTTCGCTGGATTAGATGCGCGTGAGTTATTAGTGTAAATTAAGTGGTATTTGTCAGAAATCCACCAGCGCTCGAGAAATATTTGTGCACTTGAATAAATTAATTATTTTTTCATTTTTGTTACGGTTCAATTTTGGTCCAGAAGTCGAGAAAATGAAAACAAATAATTTTAATCCGAATATATTGGAGATGCGACGTTTAAAATGTCATCGCGTATTTTTATGGCTCTCGGGCTATCGAGGGACGTTTTGCTAATGTAAAATACATTAATTAAATGTTTTATTGTTTGAAACGATAGCTTAATTCGTTGCTTTGTTTAATCATTTTTGTTATTTGGATGCAAAAAGAATTCGGTTACTGTTTTGTTTTTGGATTGTATCAATTTCAGGTTTGTATACTTTATCTTCGCTACTTTAATCTAAAATTATTAAGTAGCTCCGGTATTTTTAATTTTATAAATAAATTGTGTTCCAAATGTTTATTATTTTTACATATTCTTATTTATATTTAAAGCTTACACAATAGCGATGTCTACCGTCTATAAACTAGATCACTCATTGAAGTTGACGTTGACGATATAGGAGATCGAAGTCCAGTCCCAGCTGTGGGACTATTACAGAGTAGACTAAGTACATATTTGATAGTGTTCTATGGAGTAAATATATTAAATCACATACGTGTAATACATAGAGTTACGGTACTGTTATTGTGTAAAGCTCGAGAGGTCTTAGGTTTGAATTCCATAAAGTTTGGTCGGACCGGGTTCAAAAGTCTGCTTGACTAGTTCTCCTGTAAATAAAATATATACGATGGTCACAGAAATATGTCTGTCTCGTGATTTACATTTACAGGAATTCACTAGTAAGTGTTACCTTTTATTAAAACATTGAAATAAAGATATGTCGTGGTATGGGGTAGCCAACAAATTAGGTTAAAAGCCTATAAATTGATGCGAACAGCCTTGGGTGGCGGACTGCGGCCGAGAACTGAATTAGTCCCGGGTTTTTATCATATGCTGACATGAAGTGTCATACAGGATGTTCTATTTTTACTCGATTAATATATCTCACCAAAATATTTTTTTTTTCGGATTTTAAAGATTAATAATATGTAACCGTGAATGTTATATTATGTGGGGATTTATTTACTTTTAGACACATAAAAGTTTGGCCCCTTATCAAAATATTATATAGAAGCGGTTTTAATTATTTATAAGGCTTGTAAATAACTAAACGTCATATTTGTCTGTACAGTATACATTTAGAAACAAATGGTATTACATTTATCAGTTTATCGATATTAGTAAAAAAATATCACTTTTATTTGGTACACTCGTCTATGAATGAGATTTTGATAGACTATACACATAATAATACGTGTAAATAGGTAATTTAATCCTACACAAACTAACGAAGATTCTATCAAAGTCGATTTATCCCCTTCAGGTCCAAAATTTTCTTATCAATTTATAATTTTTCTAAACCGGGATATGTACTTGAAATCTGGATATTAATTGGCTAATAGGAATATTGAAATTCCGTCCGGGTCATAAACTACGCCCCTAGTTAACATAATTGTAGCTTAAACGCCGTTCTGTTTCAGTCTGTGGATTCCCGAATATCCAAAGTTGTTTAGACATGAAGCAAGCCTCCTCACTGTTAAAGTTTTGTTTTTAATTGTATTAATTTTAAGTTAACTACTTAAATCTCAAATTATTTAGTACAATGTCCATATATTAGAATATATAAATACTAAAATGTTTATATAGTAAAAAAAAGAAGACAAAGCACACTTAATAAAACACTCTGTATCTCGAGAGACAAGAGAAAAAAATCGTTAATTGGTCCCTTTCATTAGTAACTCCGTGCATTCCTCGCTTCGTCCTTTTTTCTGTGTCAAAATGTTATCAATGAATAGGGATTTCATTTTTACTTAAATCTTTATCACTATGTACTTAACTGTCGTGTGAGAAGTGACCACAATGCGTAAGTAATACTTAATTACGATATTGTCACTTCATCGCTACTTATCCTTGTTATCTGACGTAAATATATAGTTTGAATAATGAGAAACGATCGCTTTATAGTCTTATCTTATTAATATTAGTCTGGATATGTTTTATTATTTGTTATTTAATTTCAACACTTCGCACTGGTTTTAAATAGGTTTGGAAACACCATTTCTAGTATACATTAATTTATAATTTTTTTTTCACGAAGTATTGAGTTTTAATTGTGGTATCATTATAAGTAATGGTGTGGTATATTATAGACACAGTTGGTACTCGAACCCGCGACCGGCGGTTTACAGTGACGTCGCTGCTGCTATTATTAGACCAGCTGACTTTGTTTTTAATAAAAGCAAAACACGGCGACTTTTGCATTGGTGTCCCCTCTATATTATTTTTGCTTTGTATATATGTTAACGAAATTTGTGAAAATTTCAACTCTTTAGCTGTTGTGGTTCTTCACATACAGTCAGATGACAGACTAACAGACAGACAGACAACATTACTGAAGTTTATAACCTCCCACTAATATGAAATATATTTTACAACTATCTGCTAGTGTATTAGATTGAATTTTGAAACTCTACTACTAATAGTGACCGCCTCTGTAGCCAAATGGTTAAACGTATGGCGTTAAGCGCGAAAGTTCGAATCCCAGGTCCGGGTTTTGAATCCCAGGATAACATAAAATTGTTTCGGTCGGGCAAGGCACAGAAGTCTAATCAACTACTTGCGCGTTAAAAGAACGGATCAGTGAAACAGACACAGAAATGTGTTTGCCCCATGCCCCATGAGGGGGAAACGGGCTTTCACACAATAGTATATATATGTATATTATATTATCTGTTGTATTGCCACCTCTGTAACCTGTTACGTAATGTCTGTCAACATTTTAAGTGATTTTTAATCTCTATCCAAAGACCAGTGTGAACAAATTTTCCTTAGAATATCTTTTTTTCAATGCCAGTGGTCTCAAAAAAACTACTAATTTAAATTATCACGCCTTGTAGTTTTTCCCATAGACATAGCAAAATCATTAAGAAGAATAGAGTACTACAAAAAAGGTTTTAAATATCAATGACGCAAAGATGTAGTAGGAATAACTGACCCGACCTCTCTTAATGAAAATAAAATACAAACTTACTAGTTTGTCGATCCATCGTCATAAAACCCAAATAAAACCAAAACGCACGACACAAAACCTCGTGGTATACGTCAGCTACGGGAAGTTAAATCGTAAATACTAGACGCGTTATCTACGAAGAGACGCTGCGACCAATTCCCACTTATACAAAACAGTCTAATTAAGCTATAAACAAAGCCACAAACAGTCGCCCAAAATATTGGGACGGTACTAATCTGTGGGACCATTAAGTGTCGACAGGTTGAAAGTACCAGGGTCACATAAAGATAGCAGATACCCGACTACTGTCGTCGGACCTCACACGTCCGCCCGAATAGCTTTATACAAAAAACTCGATATATTTGGCGCCCTAAACACGTAAATTCTTAATTATCTTATATACATATATATAACACAGCAGGAGACATCGCATGTCTGTATATTTGAAATATAAAATAATAATAATAAAACACTTTATTGCACAAATAAAACAACAAGGAATCACTAAAAAACGAATTCTAAATAACATAATTTTTTTGTCAAAATGCGGACTTATCGCCAATGGCGGTTTCTTACAGACAACCTCATTTACAGAAATTCCCTCAATATGATGAAAAACAAACATATAATAATAAAAAAGAACAGATAAAGTAAGAGTTCACATGATGGAAGGTGAAATATCCAAATAATAATGTCTAAATAGGATTTGGTTTACAAATAACAGCTGACTGCCTTATTCACAGGTCCAATATGTTACTAAAAGACTGAGAAAGTTTTATACTGTGGTTTTCCGATTGTCCAAACACACAACAAAAAGCTCTATGTTGTATGGCATATTTACCCTCTACCGTAAAAATGTTAAAGGATGCAGACATAGTCTGGTGCACGGAGTAGTGTAGACTAAAGTGAATTGATATCTAATCTGTGCGCGTATGGTCGCCTCTATACAGCCTCCGCGGTAATTCTTTCGATATTGATTACTAATTCGGTTCTCCCGAAAGTTAATTATGCTTTGATACTTTTAAAATGATAAGGAGTTTCTCGATATTGTTAAATATTTGGGTGTTTTTGTTTTCGTTTTAAC